AAAATTGGGATTTTTTTATTAGGAAAATGATGTTTTTTGAGGGAAAATTCTGATTTTTGAGGTGAAAATGTTGATTTTGGAGGAAAAATCCTGAATTTTGACAATAAAAATTCTTGGTTCTGAGGGAAATATTGGGATTTTTAAATGAAAATTACGAATTTTGAGGGGAAAATCATCATTTTGAGGGAAAATCCTGAATTTTCAGGGTAAATATTCCCATTTTTGAGGGGAAAATTGGGATTTATTTAAGGAAAATGATGTTTTTTGAGGGGAAATCCTGAATTTTGAGGGGAAAATGTTTATTTTTTGAAGGGAAAGTGCTGATTTTGGAAATGAAAATACTGATTTTTGAGGGGAAAATGTTAATTTTTGAGGGAAAATCCTGAATTTTGAGTCAAAAAATTCTTATTTTTGAGGAAAATATTGGGATTTTTTTAAGGAAAATGATGGATTTTGAGGGAAAAATCATCATTTTGAGGGAAAATCCTGATTTTTGAGGGGGAAAATGTTGATTTTTGAGGGAAAATCCTGAATTTTGATAGTAAAAATTCTTGGTTCTGGGGGAAATATTGGGTTTTCTTAATGAAACTTATGAATTTTGAGGGAAAAATCATAATTTTGAGGGAAAATCCTGAATTTTGAGGGGAAAATGTTGAATTTGGAGGGAAAATCCTGAATTTTGAATGAAAAAATTCTTATTTTTGAGGGAAATATTGGGATTTTTTAATGAAAATGATGAGTTTTGAGGGGAAATCATAATTTTGAGGGAAAATCCTGAATTTCTGAGGTGACAATCCTGAATTTTGAGGGAAAAATTCTCATTTTTGAGGGAAATATTGGGATTTTTTTAAGGAAAATGATGGGTTTTGAGGGAAAAAAATCATTGTTTTGAGGGAAAATCCTGATTTTTGGGGGGAAAATGTTAATTTTGGAGGGAAAATCCTGAATTTTGAATGAAAAAATTCTTATTTTTGAGGGAAATATTGGGGTTTTTTTTAATGAAAATGATGAGTTTTGAGGGAAAAATCATAATTTTGAGGGAAAATCCTGAATTTTGAGGGGAAAAATTCTCATTTTTGAGGGAAATATTGGGATTTTTAAAGGAAAGTGATGGGTTTTGAGGGAAAATTCTGAATTTTGAGGGGAAAATATTGAATTTTGAGTGAAAAAATTCTAACTTTTGGGGGAAATATTGGGTTTTTTTTAATGAAAATGATGAGTTTTGAGGGAAAAATTGGGATTTTGAAGGAAAATCATGAATTTTTGAGGTGAAAATCCTGAATTTTGAGGGAAAAATTCTCATTTTTGAGGGAAATATTGGGATTTTAGTAAGGAAAATGATGGGTTTTGAGGGAAAAAAAATCATTGTTTTGAGGGAAAATTCTGATTTTTGAGGAGAAAATGTTGATTTTTGAGGGAAAATCCTGAATTTTGAGTGAAAAAATTCTCATTTTTGAGGGAAATATTGGGTTTTTTTAAGGAAAATGATGGGTTTTGAGGGAAAATCCTGAATTTTGAGGGGAAAAATTCTCATTTTTGAGGGAAATATTGGGATTTTAGTAAGGAAAATGATGGGTTTTGAGGGAAAAAAATCATTGTTTTGAGGGAAAATTCTGATTTTTGAGGAGAAAATGTTGATTTTGGAGGGAAAATCCTGAATTTTGAGTGAAAAAATTCTTATTTTTGAGGGAAATATTGGGTTTTTTTAAGGAAAATGATGGGTTTTGAGGGAAAATCCTGAATTTTGAGGGGAAAATGTTGAATTTGGAGGGAAAATCCTGAATTTTGATGGTAAAAATTCTTGGTTCTGTGGGAAATATTGGGTTTTTTTAATGAAAATGATGAGTTTTGAGGGAAAAATCATCATTTTGAGGGAAATTCCTGATTTTCTGAGGTGAAAATTCTGATTTTTGTGGGAAAAATTCTCATTTTTGAGGGAAATATTGGGATTTTTTGAAGGAAAATGATGGATTTTGAGGGAAAAATCATAATTTTGAGGGAAAATCCTGATTTTTGAGGGGGAAAATGTTGATTTTGGAGGTAAAATTCTGAATTTTCAGAGTGAAAGTTTCGTTTTTGAGGGAATAATTAGTATTTTTTTAAGGAAAATGTTGATTTTGGAGGGGAAAATGTTGATTTTTGAGGGGAAAATGTTGATTTTTGAGGGGAAAATGTTGATTTTTGAGGGGAAAATGCTGATTTTGGAGGGGAAAAAATGAAATTATTCCCGTTTTTATCTCAAACTTGGATTTTTATGGGCTAAGAGATGAAAAATCTCCATTGTGTGACACCGGAAAAAGATAAAAACTTGGATTTTATGGAAAAATTCCCAAATTTTGTTGGTTTTTTAGGATTTTTTTTCCTTTTCCATGGAAAATCCCAGGGAAATTTTCATTTTTTTTAAGGATTTTAAGTTTTTTTTGTGTTTTTTTAACCCATTCCCGCATTCCAAATGGGAATTTTTCCTTCCCCAGGTTTAATTTTGCCTTTCTAAAACTTGGAAAATCCATTAAAACTCCGAGAATTCCACGGAATATTTCCATTTAACTCATTTTTTAAGGAAAAATTTGGATTTTTAACCACTTTTTACCACTCTAAATCCCAAAAAAAACCATTAAAACTCCAAGATTTCCGTGGAATTCTTGGATTTAGTCGATTTTTAAGGAAAAAAATGAAAATTTCAGTTCAAATTCCACCTTCAAAACCTGAAAAAATCCAAGATTTTCATCGATTTAATTCGATTTTTAAATTAAATATCTCAATTCCAACATTTTTTAATCCCTAAAAATCCTGGAAAACCCCAAAATTCCTGAGGAATGCTCGGATTTAATTCCCTTAGAAGCAAAAAATCGTCATTGTGACCTTTTTTACCCCAAAAATTCATTAAAAATTGACATTTTTGTGAAATATCCCCATTTAATTCAACTTTCAACCCAAAAAATCCTCAGTTTAACCCCAAAAATCCAATTAAAAATTGATATTTTTATTGAATATTCAACTTTTAACCCAAAAATTCCTCATTTTAACCCCAAAAATCCAATTAAAAATCGATATTTTTATTGAATATCCACTTTTAACCCAAAAAATCATCAATATAACCCCAAAAATCCAATTAAAAATTGTTATTTTTATGGAATATTCACTTTTTACCCAAAAATTCCTCTGTTTAACCCCAAAAAACCCCTTAAAAATCAACATTTTTACAGAATATTCAACTTTTAACCCAAAAAATCTTCAATTTAACCCCAAAACTCCAATTAAAAATCAATATTTTTTCGGAATATTCAACTTTTAACCCAAAAATTCCTCTTTTTAAACCCAAAAATCCAATTAATAATTGATATTTTTATTGAATATTCAGCTTTTAACCCCAAAATTCTTCATTTTAACCCCAAAAATCCAATTAAAAATTGATATTTTAATTGAATATTCAGCTTTTAACCTAAAGATTCATTGTTTTAAACCCAAAAATCCAATTAAAAATTGATATTTTTATGGAATATTCAATTTTTAAACCCAAAATTCCTCATTTTAACCCCAAAAATCCAATTAAAAATCGATATTTTTATTGAATATTCAACTTTTAACCCAAAAATTCATCAATATAACCCCAAAAATCCAATTAAAATTTGTTATTTTTATGGAATATTCACTTTTTACCCAAAAATTCCTCTGTTTAACCCCAAAAAACCCCTTAAAAATCAACATTTTTACAGAATATTCAACTTTTAACCCAAAAAATCTTCAATTTAACCCCAAAACTCCAATTAAAAATCAATATTTTTTCGGAATATTCAACTTTTAACCCAAAAATTCCTCTTTTTAAACCCAAAAATCCAATTAATAATTGATATTTTTATTGAATATTCAGCTTTTAACCCCAAAATTCTTCATTTTAACCCCAAAAATCCAATTAAAAATTGATATTTTAATTGAATATTCAACTTTTAACCCCAAAATTCCTCATTTTAACCCCAAAAATCCAATTAAAAATCAATATTTTTATGGAATATTCACCTTTTAACCCCAAAAATCCTCACTTTAACCCCCAAAAAACCCTTACAAATCAATATTTTTATTGAATATTCGGGATTTTGGGGCTAAATTTAGAATTTTTAGGGCTGAATTCGGGATTTTTGGGCTAAATTTGGGATTTTTGGGGCTAAATTTGGAATTTTTGGGGCTAAATTTGGGATTTTTGGGGCTAAATTTGGGGTTTTTGGGGCTAAATTTGTGATTTTGGGGCTAAATTTGGGATTTTGGGCTAAATTCGGGATTTTGGGGCTAAATTTGGGATTTTTGGGGCTAAATTCGGGATTTTTGGGGCTAAATTTGTGATTTTTGTCGCTAAATTTGGGATTTTGGGGCTAAATTTGGGATTTTGGGGCTAAATTTGGGATTTTTGGGGCTAAATTCGGGATTTTTGGGGCTAAGTTTGGGATTTTTGGCGCTAAATTTGGGATTTTTGGGCTAAATTCAGAATTTTTGGGGCTAAATTTGGGATTTTTGGGGCTAAATTTGGGATTTTTGGGGCTAAATTTGGGATTTTTGGGGGCTAAATTCAGGATTTTTGGGGCTAAATTTGGGATTTGTGGACTAAATTCGCAATTTTGGGGCTAAATTTGGTGTTTTTGGGGCTAAATTCGGAATTTTTGGGGCTAAATTTGGGATTTCTTGGGGCTAAATTCGGAATTTTTGGGGCTAAATTTGGGATTTTGGGGCTAAATTTGGGATTTTGGGGCTAAATTTGGGATTTTTGGTTCTAAATTCAGGATTTTGGGCTAAGTTTGGGATTTTTGGGGCTAAATTCGTGATTTTTGGGGCTAAATTCAGAATTTTTGGGGCTAAATTTGTGATTTTTTGGGGCTAAATTCGGGATTTTTGGGGTTAAATTCGGGGTTTTGGGTTAAATTTGGGATTTTTGGGGCTAAATTCGTGATTTTTGTCGCTAAATTCGGGATTTTGGGTTAAATTTGGGGGTTTTGGGGCTGTTTGGGCAGGTGAGGAAGAGGAAGAGAAGGCGAAGGCGGGCGGCGCCGAGGCCGAGCGGCGCGGGGTGAAACGGCTCCGGGACGAGAAGGACGAGCACGGCCGCGCCTACCACGAGTTCCGTGAGGAGGCCTATAACAGCCGGTGGGAATTCCGGGAATTCCGGGAATTTTGGGAATTTTTGGGAATTTTTGGGATTTTTTTCGATTTTTTTGGGATTTTTTTTCGATTTTTTTTCGATTTTTCTGGGTTTTTTTCTGGATTTTTTAAGATTTTTTGAGGGGTTTTAAGGAGTTTTGGGATCATTTTAGAGCAATTCAAAGATCAGGGAATTCCTGAGGATTTGGGAATTTTTTCCTGGAATTTTTGGGGATTTTTGGGATTTTTATGGAATTTTTTCGATTTTTTTTCGAATTTTTTTTGATTTTTCTGGGTTTTTTTATGATTTTTTTATGATTTTTTTGAGGGTTTAAGGAGTTTTGGGATCATTTTAGAGCAATTCAAAAATCAGGGAATTCCTGAGGATTTGGGAATTTTTTCCTGGAATTTTTGGGGATTTTTGGGAATTTTTTCGATTTTTTTTCGATTTTTTTTCGATTTTTTTTCGATTTTTTTTCGATTTTTCTGGGGGTTTTTTCTGATTTTTTTAAGATTTTTTTGGGGGGTTTTAAGGGGGTTTGGGATTGTTCTAGAGCAATTCCAAGATCAGGGAATTTCTGAGGATTTGGGAATTTTTTTCCTGGAATTTTTGGGAATTTTTTTGGAATTTTTTGGATTTTTTTTCGATTTTTCTTCGATTTTTCTGGGGTTTTTTCTGGATTTTTTAAGATTTTTTGAGGGGTTTTAAGGGGGCTTGGGATCATTTTAGAGCAATTCCAAGATCAGGGAATTCCTGAGGATTTGGGAATTTTTTCCTGGAATTTTTGGGGATTTTTTTGGGAATTTTTTCGATTTTTTTTCGATTTTTTTTCGATTTGTCTGGGTTTTTTCCTGGATTTTTAAAGATTTTTCTTGGGGTTTTAAGGGGGTTTGGGATCATTTTAGAGCAATTCCAAGATCAGGGAATTCCTGAGGATTTGGGAATTTTTTCCTGGAATTTTTGGGGATTTTTGGGAATTTTTTCGATTTTTTTTCGATTTTTTTTCGATTTTTTTTCAATTTTTCTGGGTTTTTTCTGATTTTTTTATGATTTTTTGGGGGGGTTTTAAGGAGTTTTGGAATTGTTCTAGAGCAATTCCAAGATCAGGGAATTTCTGAGGATTCGGGAAATTTTGGGGAATTTTTGGGAATTTTTGGGAATTTTTTGGGAATTTTTTCGATTTTTTTTCGATTTTTTTTCGATTTTTTTTTTATTTTTTTGGGTTTTTTCTGATTTTTTTAAGATTTTTTTGGGGGGGTTTTAAGGGGGCTTGGGATCATTTTAGAGCAATTCCAAAATCAGGGAATTCCTGAGGATTTGGGAAATTTTTCCTGGAATTTTTGGGGATTTTTTTGGAATTTTTTGGATTTTTTTCGATTTTTTTTCGATTTTTCTGGGTTTCTTTCTGGATTTTTAAAGATTTTTCTTGGGGTTTTAAGGGGGTTTGGGATCATTTTAGAGCAATTCCAAATTCAGGGAATTCCTGAGGATTTGGGAATTTTTGGGAATTTTTTGGGAATTTTTTCGATTTTTTTTCGATTTTTCTGGGTTTTTTTCTGATTTTTTTATGATTTTTTTGAGGGTTTAAGGAGTTTTGGGATCATTTTAGAGTAATTCCAAAATCAGGGAATTCCTGAGGATTTGGGAATTTTTTCCTGGAATTTTTGGGGATTTTTTTGGATTTTTTTTGGAATTTTTAAAAATTTTTTTTGGATTATTTTTGGATTTTTCTGGATTTTTTATTAATTTTTAAAGATTTTTTTCTGGGGGTTTTAAGGAGTTTTGGGATTGTTCTAGAGTAATTCAAAAATCAGGGAATTCCTGAGGATTTGGGAATTTTTTCCTGGAATTTTTGGGGATTTTGGGGATTTTTTTGGGATTTTTTTTTGATTTTTTTTCTATTTTTTTTCGATTTTTCTGGGTTTTTTTCTGGATTTTTTAAGATTTTTTGGGGGGTTTTAAGGGGGTTTGGGATCATTTTAGAGTAATTCAAAGATCAGGGAATTCCTGAGGATTTGGGAATTTTTTCCTGGAATTTTTGGGAATTTTTTGGGAATTTTTTTTTATTTTTTTTCTATTTTTTTTCGATTTTTCTGGGTTTTTTTCTGGATTTTTTAAGATTTTTTGGGGGGTTTTAAGGGGGTTTGGGATCATTTTAGAGTAATTCAAAGATCAGGGAATTCCTGAGGATTTGGGAATTTTTTCCTGGAATTTTTGGGAATTTTTTGGGAATTGTTTTGGATTTTTTTTGGATTTTTTTTTTCATTTTTCTGGGTTTTTTTCTGGATTTTTTAAGATTTTTTTGGGGGTTTTAAGGGGGTTTGGGATCATTTTAGAGTAATTCCAAATTCAGGGAATTCCTGAGGATTTGGGAATTTTTTCCTGGGATTTTTTGGAATTTTTTTTTTTTTTTTTTTTGGATTTTTTCTGGATTTTTTATTAATTTTTAAAGATTTTTTGGGGGGGTTTTAAGGAGTTTTGGGATCATTTTAGAGCAATTCCAAGATCAGGGAATTCCTGAGGATTTGGGAATTTTTTCCTGGAAAATCCCCCAAAAATTCCCCAAAAAATCCCCCCAAAATTCCCAAAAAATTCCCAAAAAATTCCCAAAATTTTTTTTTTTTTTGGGAATTCTTTTGGGATTCTGGGAATTTTTTCCTCCAGGAATCCCGGAATTTATCCCAAATTTTTGGGAATTTTTCCAGATCCAAATCGCCGCCGCCGCCGGAGGAGGAACCGCCCGAGGGGGAAGAGGACGAGAGCCTCGTCATCCTCGACACCTGTACGGGAATCCCGGGAATCCCGGGAATTCCAGAGGGTTCCAGGAATTTGGGATCCTTGGGGGAGGGGAGGGAGAATTCCCTGGAATTTTTGGGGGGATTTTGGGATTTTTGGGGGATTTTTTGGGATTTTTTGGGATGATTTTGGAATTTTTGGGGATTTTTGGGGGGTTTTTTTGGATTTTTTTAGGGGTTTTTTGGGATTTTTCTGGGTTTTTTGGGGGATTTTGGGATTTTGGGAATTTTTGGGATTTTTTAGGGGATTTTTGGGGATTTTTTTGGAATTTTTTGGGATTTTTTTGGGATGATTTTGGGATTTTGGGAAATTTTTGGGGGGGATTTTGTGATTTTTGGGAGTTTTTTGGGATTTTTTGGGATGATTTTGGGATTTTTTTGGGATCACTTTGGAATTTTTGAGGATTTTTTAGGATGGTTTTGGGATTTTTGGGAGTTTTTTGGGATTTTTTGGAATTTTTTGGCATCATTTTGGGATTTTTGGGGATTTTTTTGGGATTTTTTGGGATTTTTTGGGAATTTTGGGATTTTTGGCAATTTTTGGGGATTTTTTGGGGATTTTTTGGGATTTTTTGGGAGATTTTTGGGATTCTTTTTGGGATAATTTTGGGATTTTTTGGGGCAATTTTGGGATTTTTTGGAAAGATTTTGGGAATTCCAGAAGTTTCCAGAGGGTTCCAGGAATTTGGGATCGTTGGGGGAAGGGAGGGAGAATTCCCTGGAATTTTTTGGGGGGATTTTGGGAATTTTTGGGGATTTTTTGGGATTTTTTGGGATTTTTTTGGGATTTTTTGGGATTTTTTTGGGATTTTTTGGGATTTTTTGGGATCATTTTTGGATTTTTAGGGATTTTTCTGGGTTTTTTTGGGATTTTGGGATTTTGGAGGATTTTTTGGGATTTTTTGGGGATTTTTTGGGAATTTCAGGGATGAGCTGGAATTTTTTTGGGATTATTCTGGGATTTTTTGGGATCATTTTGGGATTTTTTGGGAATTTTTGGGGATTTTTGGGAATTTTTTGGATCATTTTGGGATTTTTAGGGATTTTTCAGAATGACTTTGGGATTTTTGGGGATTTTTTTGGGATTTTTTGGGATTTTTAGGGATTTTTCTGGTTTTTTTTTGGATTTTGGGGGATTTTTTGGGGCAATTTTGGGATTTTTTGGAAAGATTTTGGGAATCCCGGGAATTCCAGAGGGTTCCAGGAATTTGGGATCGTTGGGGGAGGGGAGGGAGAATTCCCTGGAATTTTTGGGGGAATTTTGGGAATTTTTGGGGATTTTTGGGGGATTTTTTGGGGATTTTTTGGGATCATTTTCGAATTTTGGGGGATTTTTTGGGATGATTTTGGGATTTTGGGGAATTTTTGGGATGATTTTGGGATTTTTGGGAGTTTTTTTGTGATTTTTTGGGCTTTTTTTGGGATAATTTTGGAATTTTTGGGGGATTTTTTTGGATTTTGGGGGATTTTTTTAGGGATTTTTAGGATTTTTTTCAGGATAATTTTGGGATTTTTTGGGATCATTTTGGGATTTTTGGGGATTTTTTAGAATTTTTGGGGATAATTTTGGAATGATTTTAGAATTTTTGGGGATTTTTTGGGATGATTTTGGAATTTTTTGGGAGTTTTTTGGGGATTTTTTGGGATTTTTGGGATTTTTTTCGAGATAATTTTGGGATTTTTGGGATTTTTGAGGACAATTTTGGGATTTTTGGGATGATTTTGGGATTTTTTGGGAGTTTTTTGGGATTTTGGGGGATTTTTTGGGATTTTCTGGGATCATTTTGGGATTTTTAGGGATTTTTCTGGATTTTTTTGGGATTTTGGGGGATTTTTTGGGATAATTTTGGGATTTTTTGGAAAGATTTTGGGATTTTTTGGAAAGATTTTGGGAATTCCGGGAATTCCAGAGGGTTCCAGGAATTTGGGATCCTTGGGGGAGGGGAGGGAGAATTCCCTGGAATTTTTGGGGGGGATTTTGGGAATTTTTGGGGATTTTTTGGGATTTTTTGGGGGATTTTTTGGGAGTTTTTTGGGATTTTTTGGGATCATTTTCGAATTTTTTGGGATTTTTTGGGATGATTTTGGGATTTTGGGGGATTTTTTGGGGATTTTTTGGGATAATTTTGGGTTTTTTGGGAATTTTTGGGGGGGATTTTGGGAATTTTTGGGGATTTTTTTGGGATTTTTTGGGATTTTTTTGGGATTTTTTGGGATTTTTTGGGATTTTTTTGGATCATTTTTGGATTTTTAGGGATTTTTCTGGGTTTTTTGGGGATTTTGGGATTTTGGAGGATTTTTTGGGATTTTTTGGGGATTTTTTGGGAATTTCAGGGATGAGCTGGAATTTTTTTGGGATTATTCTGGGATTTTTTGGGATCATTTTGGGATTTTTTGGGAATTCTTGGGGATTTTTGGGAATTTTTTGGATCATTTTGGGATTTTTAGGGATTTTTCAGAATGACTTTGGGATTTTTGGGGATTTTTTTGGGATTTTTTGGGATTTTTAGGGATTTTTCTGGTTTTTTTTTGGATTTTGGGGGATTTTTTGGGGCAATTTTGGGATTTTTTGGAAAGATTTTGGGAATCCCGGGAATTCCAGAGGGTTCCAGGAATTTGGGATCGTTGGGGGAGGGGAGGGAGAATTCCCTGGAATTTTTGGGGGAATTTTGGGAATTTTTGGGGATTTTTGGGGGATTTTTTGGGGATTTTTTGGGATCATTTTCGAATTTTGGGGGATTTTTTGGGATGATTTTGGGATTTTGGGGAATTTTTGGGATGATTTTGGGATTTTTGGGAGTTTTTTTGTGATTTTTTGGGCTTTTTTTGGGATAATTTTGGAATTTTTGGGGGATTTTTTTGGATTTTGGGGGATTTTTTTAGGGATTTTTAGGATTTTTTTCAGGATAATTTTGGGATTTTTTGGGATCATTTTGGGATTTTTGGGGATTTTTTAGAATTTTTGGGGATAATTTTGGAATGATTTTAGAATTTTTGGGGATTTTTTGGGATGATTTTGGAATTTTTTGGGAGTTTTTTGGGGATTTTTTGGGATTTTTGGGATTTTTTTCGAGATAATTTTGGGATTTTTGGGATTTTTGAGGACAATTTTGGGATTTTTGGGATGATTTTGGGATTTTTTGGGAGTTTTTTGGGATTTTGGGGGATTTTTTGGGATTTTCTGGGATCATTTTGGGATTTTTAGGGATTTTTCTGGATTTTTTTGGGATTTTGGGGGATTTTTTGGGATAATTTTGGGATTTTTTGGAAAGATTTTGGGATTTTTTGGAAAGATTTTGGGAATTCCGGGAATTCCAGAGGGTTCCAGGAATTTGGGATCCTTGGGGGAGGGGAGGGAGAATTCCCTGGAATTTTTGGGGGGGATTTTGGGAATTTTTGGGGATTTTTTGGGATTTTTTGGGGGATTTTTTGGGAGTTTTTTGGGATTTTTTGGGATCATTTTCGAATTTTTTGGGATTTTTTGGGATGATTTTGGGATTTTGGGGGATTTTTTGGGGATTTTTTGGGATTTTTTTTGGGTTTTTTGGGGATTTTTTGGGATCATTTTGGGATTTTTTGGGATCATTTTGGGATTTTTGGCAATTTTGGGGGATTTTGGGGGATTTTTGGGGATTTTTTTGGGGGGATTTTGGGATTTTTGGGGATTTTTTGGGATCATTTTGGGATTTTTCCGGAATTTTTTTGGATTTTGGGGGATTTTTTGGGATAATTTTGGGATTTTTTGGGGCAATTTTGGGATTTTTTGGAAAGATTTTGGGAATCCCGGCAATTCCAGAGGGTTCCAGGAATTTGGGATCCTTGGGGGAGGGGAGGGAGAATTCCCTGGAATTTTTTGGGGGGGATTTTGGGAATTTTTGGGGATTTTTTGGGATTTTTTGGGGATTTTTCTGGGTTTTTTGCGGGGATTTTGGGAGTTTTTTGGGATTTTTTGGGATTTTTTGGGATTTTTTGGGATCATTTTGGGATTTTTTGGGATCATTTTGGGATTTTTGGCAATTTTTGGGATCATTTTGGGATTTTTGGGAATTTTTGGGATCATTTTGGGATTTTTGGGAATTTTTGGGACTTTTTTCGGGATAATTTTGGGGATTTTGGGAGTTTTCAGGACAGTTTTTGGGATTTTTGGGAATTTTTGGGACTTTTTTCGGGATAATTTTGGGGATTTTGGGAGTTTTCAGGACAGTTTTGGGATTTTTTGGGATCATTCTGGGATTTTTTGGGATCATTTGGGGATTTTGGGGGATTTTTTGGGAGTTTTTTGGGATTTTTGGGGATTTTTCCGGATGATTTTGGGATTTTTGGGGAGTTTTTTGGGATGAGCTGGAATTTTTTCGGGATTATTCTGGGATTTTTTGGGACAATTTTGGGATTTTTTGGGATCATTTTGGGATTTTTTGGGATTTTCTGGGATCATTTTGGGATTTTTTGGGGATTTTGGGATTTTTGGGGATTTTGGGGGATTTTTTGGGATTTTTTGGGATGAGCTGGAATTTTTTCCGGATTATTCTGGGATTGTTTGGGATCATTTTGGGATTTTGGGGGATTTTTTGGGATGTTTTTGGGATTTTTTGGGATGATTTTGGGATTTTGGGAATTTTGGGATTTTGGGATCTGTTGTCTCCAGACACGTCGGGCCTGCAGTTCCGGGATGGGATTTGGGAATTTTGGGATTTATGGATTTAGGGATTTATGGAATTTTGGGATTTGGAATTTGGGAATTTTGGAATTTGGGGTTTGGGAATTTTGGGATTCAGGAATTTTGGGAATTTTGGGAATTTTGGGATTTATGGATCTGTTGTCCCCAGACACGTCGGACCTGCAGTTCCGGGATGGGATTTGGGATTTGGGATTTGGGAATTTTGGGATTTGGGATTTGGGAATTTTGGGATTTATGGGATTTTGGGATTTTGGGATTTGGGATTTGGGAATTTTGGGAATTTTGGGATTTATGGAATTCTGGGATTTTGGGATTTGGATTTGGGAATTTTGGGAATTTTGGGATTTGGGATTTTGGGAATTTTGGGATTTGGAATTTGGGATTTATGGAATTTTGGGATTTATGGATTTGTTGTCCCCAGACACGTCGGGCCTGCAGTTCCGGGATGGGATTTGGGATTTGGGAATTTTGGGATTCAGGAATTTTGGGATTCAGGAATTTTGGGATTTATGGAATTTTGGGATTTGGGAATTTTGGGAATTTTGGGATTTATGGAATTTTGGGATTTATGGAATTTTGGGATTTGGGATTTATTGGGATTTAGGAATTTTGGGATTTGGGATTTAGGGAATTTGGGAATTTTGGGATTCAGGAATTTTGGGAATTTTGGGATTTATGGATTTAGGGATTTATGGATTTAGGGAATTTTGGGATTTTGGGATTCAGGAATTTTGGGAATTTTGGGATTTATGGAATTTTGGGATGTGTTGTCCCCAGACACGTCGGACCTGCAGTTCCGGGATGGGATTTGGGAATTTTGGGAATTTGGGATTTTGGGATTTATGGATTTTGGATTTATGGATTTAGGAATTTTGGGATTTTGGGATTCAGGAATTTTGGGAATTTTGGGATTTATGGAATTTTGGGATGTGTTGTCCCCAGACACGTCGGACCTGCAGTTCCGGGATGGGAATTTTGGGATTTGGGAATTTTGGGATTTGGGAATTTTGGAATTTGGGAATTTTGGATTTAGGAATTTTGGGATTTATGGAATTTTGGGAATTTTGGGATTTATGGATGTGTTGTCCCCAGACACGTCGGACCTGCAGTTCCGGGATGGGATTTAGGATTTAGGGAATTTTGGGATTTATGAAATTTGGGATTTTGGGAATTTTGGGAATTTTGAGATTTAGGGAATTTTGGGATTTGGGATTTGGGGATTCAGGAATTTTGGGAATTTTGGGATTTATGGAATTTTGGGATTTGGGAATTTTGGGATTTATGGATTTGTCGTCTCCAGACACGTCGGACCTGCAGTTCCGGGATGGGATTTGGGGATTTTGGGATTTATGGAATTTTGGGATTTGGGATTTTGGGGATTTGGGGATTTTGGGATTTTTGGGATTTGGGGATTCAGGAATTTTGGGAATTTTGGGATTTATGGATCTGTTGCCCCCAGACACGTCGGGCCTGCAGTTCCGGGATGGGAATTTTGGGAATTTTGGGATTTTGGGAATTTTGGGATTTAGGGAATTTTGGGATTTGTTGTCCCCAGACACGTCGGACCTGCAGTTCCAGGATGGGATTTGGGATTTTGGGATTTATGGGATTTGGGGATTTGGGATTTATTGGGATTTAGGAATTTTGGGATTTGGGATTTAGGGAATTTGGGAATTTTGGGATTTATGGAATTTTGGGATTCAGGAATTTTGGGAATTTTGGGATTTATGGAATTTTGGGATCTGTTGTCCCCAGACACGTCAGACCTGCAGTTCCGGGATGGGATTTAGGCATTTTGGGAATTAGGGATTTGTGGATTTATGGAATTTTGGGATTTATGGATTTAGGGAATTTTGGGATTTTGGGATTCAGGAATTTTGGGAATTTTGGGATTTATGGAATTTTGGGATGTGTTGTCCCCAGACACGTCGGACCTGCAGTTCCGGGCCAGCCGGGACCGTTACGGGGGCCAGCCGCTCTTCTCCGAGAGATTCCCGGGGCTCTGGGCCGGAGCCCGCAGCACCCACGGCGTCACCCGGGGCAGGGTGTGCTTCCAGGCCAGGGTGAGACAACAGCCGGAACAGCCGGAATAACGGCAACAGCCGCCGGAATGGGCCACGGCAACAGCCGCTGGGATAGCGGGAATGGTGGTGGGAATGGGAACAGCCGGAATAACGGCAACAGCCGGGATAGCGGGAATGACAATGGGAATGGGAACAGCCGGAATAACGGCAACAGCCGCCGGGATAGCGGGAATGACAGTGGGAACGGGGGGAATGGGAACAGCCGGAATGGGCCACGGCAACAGCCGGGATAGCGGGAATGGTGATGGGAACAGAGAGAATGGGAACAGCCGGAGCGGTCCATGGCAGTAACAGCCGGGATAGCGGGAATGGCGGTGGGAATGGGAATGGGAACAGCCGGAATAACGGCAACAGCTGCCGGGATAGCGGGAATGACAGCGGGAACGGGGGGAATGGAAACAGCCGGAATAACGGCAACAGCCGGGATAGCGGGAATGATGATGGGAATGGAGAGAATGGGAACAGCCGGAATAACAGCAACAGCCGGAACGGGGGACAGCAACAACCACCGCCGGGATAGCGGGAATGGTGATGGGAATGGTGGGAATGGGAACAGCCGGAACGGGCCACGGCAACAGCCGGAACGGGCCACGGCAACAGCCACTGGGATAGCGGGAATGACAGTGGGAACGGGGGGAATGGGAACAGCCGGAATAACGGCAACAACAGCCGGGATACCAGGAACAGGCGGGATAGCGGGAATGGCGATGGGAATGGGAATGGGAACAGCCGGAGTAACGGCAACAGCCGGAACGGGGGACGGCAACAACAGCTGGGATAGCGGGAATGATGGGAACAGGCGGAATGAGGGGAATGGCGGGAATGGGAACAGCCGGAACGACGGCAACAGCCGGAACGGGGGATGGTAACAACAGGCGGGATAGCGGGAATGACGATGGGAATGGCGGGAATGGGAACAGCCGGAATAACGGCAACAGCCGGAATGACGGGAACAGTGGGAATGACAATGGCAGGAATGACAGGAGGGAGAACAGGAACACAGGAATAACGGGAACAGGCGGAATGATGGGAACAGCGGGAATGACATGACAGCAGGGGAACAATGGGAATAACGGGAATGGGAACAGCGGGAATAACAGCAGGAATAACGGGAACAGCTGGAATGGGAACAGCCGGAATAATGGGAACAGCCGGAATGATGGGAACAGCCGGAATAACGGGAACAGGCGGAATGACAACAGTCGGAATAATGGGAACAGCCGGAATGATGGGAACAGGGGGAATGACAATGGCAGGAATGACAGCAGGGAGAACAGGAACACAGGAATAACGGGAACAGGCGGAATGATGGGAACAGCGGGAATGACAACGGGAATGACAGCAGGGGAACAATGGGAATAACGGGAATGGGAACAGCGGGAATAACAGCAGGAATAACGGGAACAGCTGGAATGGGAACAGCCGGAATAATGGGAACAGCCGGAATGATGGGAACAGGGGGAATGACAATGGCAGGAATGACAGCAGGGAGAACAGGAACACAGGAATAACGGGAACAGGCGGAATGACAACAGCCGGAATGATGGGAACAGCGGGAGTGACAACAGCAGGAACAATGGGAATGAGAACAGGCGGAATAACGGGAACAGGGAGAACAGGAACACGGGAATAACGGGAATGACAACAGCCAGAATAACGGGAATGAGAACAGGCGGAACAATGGGAACAGCGGGGGGCAACGGCAGCGGGAACAACGGGAAAGGGGAACAATGGGAAAGGGGAACAGCCGGAAACAACAGCGAGAACGATGGGAAAAAACCGGGAAACGGGAATTGGGGTGGGAAAGGGGAATTTTGGGGCTGTTTTGAGGGAAATTTGGGAATTTTGGGGGGGGGATTGAGGAGTTTTTGGGAATTTTGAGGGAAATTTGGGAATTTTTGGGGATTTTTGGGAGGATTTAGGGATTTTCGGTACATTTTGAGGGAAATTTGGGAATTTTGGGGAATTTTTTTTGATTTTTGGGAACGTTTTGAGAGAGATTTGGGAATTTTGGGGGAATTGAGGGATTTTTGGGAACGTTTTGAGGGAAATTTGGGAATTTTTTTTGATTTTTGGGAACGTTTTGAGGGAGATTTGGGTATTTTGGGTGGGGGTTGAGGAATTTTTGGAATTTTGAGGGAAATTTGGGGGAATTTTTGGGGATTTTTGGTCTGTTCTGAGGGAGATTTGGGAATTTTGGGAGGATTTAGGGATTTTTGAGCGGTTCTGAGGGAGATTTGGGAATTTTTGGGAATTTTTTTGGATTTTTGGGTTGTTCTGAGGGAGATTTGGGAATTTTGGGGGGATTTAGGGATTTTTAGAATTTTGAGGAAAATTTGGGGAATTTTGGGGAATTTTTTTTTGATTTTGGGGCTGTTTTGAGGGAGATTTGGGAATTTTGGGGAATTTTTGGGGATTTTTGGGAACGTTTTGAGGGAGATTTGGGAATTTTTGGGGATTTTTGGGCTGTTTTGAGGGAGATTTGGGAATTTTGGGGGGAATTGAGGAATTTTTGGAATTTTGAGGGAGATTTGGGAATTTTAGGGAATTTTTGGGAACATTTTGAGGGAAATTTGGGAATTTTGGGGAA